TGTGGGGACGTGCTGGATGGTCCATCCAGGGGCTTGTTTGTGAGATGTATTCAATCCTCTTTGCCCCAGCAGAGTGAGCCACACTGAAATCTAATTTTCTCTCCATGACAAGCAGGCTGGCAGTGCCAAGAGCATCCAAATTGTCAGGAAATGCATCATCAACAAGAGGCACCTGATTGTCCATCCAGCAGAGCTTTTCCCAGCAAAACCCCCACCTGAATAAGCCAAAGGAGACTTATGTCAAAGAGACACAAAATCAATGCACCAGAACTTGCCCTTTTTGTATAAAGCCACTATTCCTGTAAGACTTTGACAAAACTGATGTAAACTTCGTGGTGCTGGCTCTGAGCAGACACTTTGTGAGGGGACTTTCAAACCTCTCTGCCTTGTAGGACAGAAGTGGGGAAGGAAGCACTGGGTCAGTTTTCCAGAGGGGAAAATTTGTGGATCTCAGCCTGTCTCACATCAAATAAAGCTGTAAGGTTAAAGTTAGGAACCCAGCTATGATTTTTGGAGTTCTAAGTTGACACCATGGACACAAAGCCACCCACAGAGTGCGTGACAGGAGAGTCATCTCTTCCTTAGTCACTCTTGTTTTTATGGGAATATATAGCATTAAATTAAATGTGTTTGCACAACAAGAATTCCTTCTGCAATGCCCATTTATTTATTCGCTGGAGTGTAACCATTGCTGTCTGCTCAGTAAATAAAATTAGTTTTAATTCCTTTCAAATTAGAAAACAAATCAGTTATTAGCCTAATGAAAAACATTTTTCAATCTCACGGGTACATGCTGCACACGTTGCTGAAATGTTTTCTGCATTTTTTTTTATGACAAATCACTAAAAGCTGAGTCCTGCTTCCCTGCTGCAAGTCGAGAGAGGAATCAGAAAAATTTAGACATTTCTGAGGTTTTTCTGCATTTTGGTGCCATTCTTTCTTGCAAGGAGTTCTTCAGTGCTTTAGCAAGACCAGTTTCCTTTGAAATCAAAGGGAAAAGGATCCCTGGCTTGATCAGCAGATAAATTGTGCTTTTCAGCATCCTTTGTATCTTTCAGATCAGATAAGATCATCACGGAGCAGGTCCAGAGGAGAGCTACAAAGATGATCCGAGGGCTGGAGCAGCTCTGCTGTGAGGTCAGGCTGAGGGATTTGGGGTTGTTCAGCCTGGAGAAGAAGAAGCTCCAAGGAGACCTTCCAGTATCTGAAGAGGGCCTACAAAGAATGCTGGGGAGGCACTTTTATGAGGGCTTGTGGTGGTAGGATGAGGGGTAAGCTGGGGAGGCACTTTTATGAAGGCTTATGGTGGTAGGATGAGGGGTAATGGCTTTGAACTGGAAAAGGGGAGATTTAGGTGAGAAATAAGAAGTTCTTCACTGTGAGGGTGGTGAGACAGTGGCACAGGTTGCCCAGGGAAGCCGTGGATGCTCCATCAGTGGATGTGTTCAAGACCAGGTTGGATGGGGCTCAGAGCAATCTGGTCTGGTGGGAAGTGCCCCTGCCCATGGCAGGGGGTTTGGAACTAAATGATCCTTAAAGTCCCTTCCAACCCAAACCATTCTATGCTTCTATAAATCATATACTTGGTCCAGAATGTTTTAAGTGAAGAAAGTGAGGACAATCTCTGTAGCACAAGCCTGAAGATTACAGTAGATGCTTGGAGCATGGTGACTCCACACAATACATGATGATCTACCCCTGAGTCAGAGAAATTTCACTGGGTACACAAAGAGCTTGTAGTTTGTACTAAAACTCCTCCTCTGTGGTAAAAGATGCTGCTTTTGTTAGCACAATATTAATGTTTATAAAGCTTCTTGGCATGAAGCGCCGTTGGCTTTTCTTTCAAGTGAGTTATAAAATCATCATGGAAAGAAAAATAGAGTCTCTCTAATGCACCAGATGATTGTTACACTGGTGTCTCCTGATACTGCACCAGATGAATGTGATGGAGCAATAAAACTCTGGATCTTCATTTGTCACACCTCTTTAGCTCTCTCCCATGCTCAGGGAGGTTTGAAATGAGTATTAGTTCTTTCCCTCAAGAAAGTTACCCAGAAATCACTGATCTTTCAGCTCTGCCAATTTTCACTCTCAAGTGCTGGGGCTGTGAGTATTCAGCAGTTTGATGTTTTTACTTAAACCATGGAGGAGGGTTTTTTAAATTTCCTTTGGTTTTTGGAATTTATTTGTTCATCTGCTTTTCATTATATGGCTTCATCTCTAGGTGAGTGACTTATCCCAGCTGAAGGCTGTGTGGCAGAGCTCAGTACCATCCTTCCTTGTTCCCCAGAGGCAGAAACTGATGCACAAGGGCTGAAGTGACTTAGGAAGAGTCTCACAGCCTCAGGGGCAAATTCAGAAGTCTTGCCCTGGCATTTCAGCTACGTTCTGCTCACAGCTGTCTTGCTACTTCCATAGCAAGTACTAACATAGGATGTAGCTGGTGAGGGCAACGAGCTTTGCTCAGCTGTGCTGCTGCTGGGAACAACCCTCTAGTTTCCTCATGCTGCTGATTTTCCTTGTGCTTAAGAGCTCAGCTGCTCCAGAGGGTCGGGCTGGTGATGGACAATGGCCTAGATGTAACTCAGCAGCACACTTGGACTGGAATTATGCATTCCTGTGCCTCTGCAGAGCAAGCTGCCCGTGCTGCATGCATGGGGCACCCTCCCTCCGAGAGAGCATTAATTATTACTGCTGCTTGCAAAGTGATTTGTGACCAAAAATGGTTTTTTTTTTCTAATTCTGCCACTGAAGAACTTCTGGCTAATCAACTGGCGGCAGACAGAGTTGGCAGAGATGACATAAAGGCCCACACTAATTACTCCCCCTGTCTCAAGAACTGATAAGAGAGGTGATTTATGCCTGGAACAGCCTGATAATTCTGGAAATAATAGATATTTCATGACTTAATCAATGTAAACCTGATTGTGCTGTGATTTTGAATTAATGACCGTGCTATAGCTGTGGAAAGTGGGCTAAATAATGAGTTCATGCTAAATAGTTGCATCAGGAATAAGCAGTTTTAAAGCCTGAGTGGTTTTAAAAGCTGCTGAGTGGTTTTAACCTGCTTTTAGCACCTTATGGTGCAGGTGACCCAACACATGAGTAGATTTTTGAATGATGTCAGGACATTCTTTGCACTGGGAACTACAAGCTCCTGAGGAGGAGAAGAGGTAAGAGAAGCAGCAGGTCTCCACTCCCAGGCAGTCCTGAAGCCCTCAGTCCAAAGGACTGGTGAAACTAGCTGGTAACAACAGTAACTTGGCTTTGAAACATCTTAAGGCTCCTCAGCTGGACTTGCTGAGCTTTGGCAGAGCTGTATGGTGGAGAGGACTGCAGCTTGGATCTCATTTTGGAAATCTGCTGACCTCAAAATCATCAGAAAGTTCAACACAGAGCCTCTCACTCTACTTTTATCCACCCTTATCTGCATTGCATTATGAGGGGGAACTAGGTCAGCATCTATCTCTAAAAAGAGAATCTTGAATACTCTGCCTTGTGTGTACAAATACCAGGCTCACTATAAAATGGTTTGAATTGGGAGGGACCTTAAAGACCATCTAGTTCCAACCCCCCCTGCCATGGGCAGGGACACCTTCCACCAGACCAGGTTGTTCCAAGCCCCATCTAACCCGTTCTTGAACACTTCCACTGATGGAGCATCCACAAATTCCCTGTGCAACCTGTTCCACTGTCTCACCACACTCATAGTGGAGAAGTTCCTAATTTCTAGTGTAAATCTCCCCTCTTCCAGTTTGAAACCATTACCCCTTTGTCCTATCACTACAAGACCTCGTAGTGGCAGTAGAAAGCAATTTCTAAAGAGAATAAATACCTGCATTAACCCAAATATCTACTTTGCTTTCTTCCTTTTCATGTACGTCGAGTCTTTGCTTTACAGTGCCAGTAACTTGGAGCAGATCCAAGGCAGGAACAAGGTCTGGGTGCTGCTCCTTGTTCCCCTTGTTGTCCTGCTAGATGGTCTCAGTTGGTTGATCTTGATGCATCCACTGAGCTCCAAAGCACCAGGAAGCACAGTGAATTTCCTCGTGGTGTCCAAGCAGGACAGAGACCCATAGGTCCCTGAAACTGGTTCTACCATACTAAACTCCATTGCTTCTGTGATGATTTAAGCATCAAAGACTCAGCTGTACCTTTTTTCCCCCCCTGGTGCCTGGCAGTGCTTGGCAAAGCCATGAAACAGGGAGTCAGAAGGGGATTGAACTTGTTTTAATTTCTGAAAATACAGTTTATATTCATGGCCATACTGACATTCAGAACCAATAAATAGACACAACAGCTTTCCAAGACTTCACAATCATCATCACTTACATAATAATAAAATGGTTACATCACATTTTATATGCAATTTGGATTAGACTGTGAAAGTATTATGAATACATTGAATCCTTTCAATATTTCCCTAGTCTTGTTTTTATTCCTTCTAATTATGTTTGAAGGATTCCCCAATGCTATCAATCTCTTCTATGGGTTAATGGCAGTAAAACAATATAAATGGACCTGACAGCACTCTACAACCACAGCTCATAGACCATCTCCAGATCAGTGCTGTGGCCTTTTTTGGATGAAACTTCCCCTAAAGAAAAGGTGGTTTTTGCAAAGACGTTGTCTGAGCTGTTTTCTGCTTGGAGCTGATCCCAACAGCACAAAGCAGCCATGAACTCAGCTTAACAAGGTAGTTAGAACAAGTTTAGTGTTGTTTTGCATTAGGAGAGCAGTCCAAAGCTGGCAGTGTGAACCAGTAAATCAGTTCTCTGGAGTGGTAACACACATCTCACTTAACTAAAACACCATAAGAGCTTCCCACAGCCCAGCCCAGCCCATAACACTTTTAGCTGGGAAAGGGGGGTGAGTAAAGAGAAGTCTATGTACATTTATTTGAGCTTGTGGGTCTCCAACTCTTGGCTTTACTACGAATTCATCTCTCAAGTCCCCAAGTTCTCCAGGTCTACAAGTGCTTTGCATACCCAACCATGCCCTCACACCTTGCTAGTCTGCATGTGTCCATTGAATTCAATATTTCTCTGGGTTAACATTGACTCCTGCAAGCGGCTGCTGTTCTCTTGCCTGTGTTCAATGGGGTCACCATCCTCTACACCGTTGCCCTTCCGAAGGCAAAGGACTTTCTGAAAACTCTGCTTGAAGTTGTCAGAAAGAAATCCATAAAGAATGGGGTTGGCACAGCTGTTTGCATAGGACAGGACCACCACAAAGAAGTAGACCCCGACCAACACAGGGTCTTCTGGCAGTATAAATATCAAATTGACAATGTTCATCATGTAAAACGGGAGCCAGCAAAACACAAAGACCACCACAATGATCACCACCATCCTGGTCACCTTCCTCTCCGATCTCCTGCGCCTCGTAGACCCCACTCGAATCCCCGAGGATTTGACTTTAATCACGATCAACAAGTAGCAGAGACAGATCACCAACAAAGGCCCAAAAAACCCAAGGACTGATGTGTAAATGATGAACGCCGCCGACCAGATGTTGACGGGCTCTGGCCAGTTCATGTTGCAGGTTTGAAAGTCTTCCTGCACGTCTGAGAAGATGATAACTGGAAGCACCACCAAGAAGGAGAAGGTCCAGACAGTCACACTGATGAGCTTGGCCACCCTGGGACGTCTCCACTTGGTTGATTTAATGGGGTGAACCACGGCCAGGTAACGGTCCATGCTCATCACAGTCAAACAAAAAATACTCGTGAACTGGTTAATACCATCCACGGTCATAACCAGCCTGCACAAGAAGGAGCCAAAAGGCCAATAGGAGATGGCATTCTGGGTGGCCAGGAAGGGCAGGCCCAGCATGAAGAGGACATCAGCCACAGCTAAGTTCAAGATGTAGATGTTGGTGACAGTCTTCATCTTGGCGTAGCGCAAGACCACGTAAATGACCAAGGTGTTGCCACTGAGCCCCACTGCACATACCAGGAGGTAACAGATGGGAATCAGAACTTTGTGGATGTACTTGAAGGAGGGTTGCTCTGAGAGCGTCCCGTTCTCTGTCACATTGGTCAGCAGGGAGGAATTCACATCGTTGGAACCAGCTTCTGTGCTGAACGTGTTGGAAAAGTATAAAGGATCCATAACTTTTACTCCTCAGTTTTTCTTTTAAGGCTAAGAGACATAAAACTTCATGGGCATCTTGTTCCTACAAAGAAAATAAAAAGGGAAGACAAAGAGGGAAAGAAAGAATGAATTCAAAGTTGACTAAGTTGAACACATCATTTCATTTTCTACCTAGAGTCAGAATGTGTGTTTCAATTGTGCAGTTAGCACGTGATGAGATCCTCCCCAACTTGCACAAAAACTCAGAGCCCACCTTTCCTCCTAGCATCCTGTCTAAATCTGGTGCAGAAAATGCTAAAAGAGAATCCTGAAAGCCTCTGGCTGAGCAGTGCACACAAATCAGACTGAAAGCAGAGACCTGGGATTAGTGTCAAAAGCCTTAAAGTCCAATTTGGTGCAGTTCTGCTGTTGCTTCATGGAGGGTGCCTGGAGAAGCTCAAGGACTGACTCAGCTCTGTCAGCACCACACAAGCTCTGGGTGCTTTCACAATCCAGAACCAAAGATAGTTCCTGGCTCTTTGTCTCTGAAGCTCCACCGTGATGTTTCACAGGTCTCCCTGTTTACATAGAAACAGTCTCATATTCAAATGCCTCTTCCTGGCTGGCAGAATCAACTGAGAACCCTCTGGGAACATCAGCAGCTTTGTAGGTGGGAAGACAAAAGCCTCCAAAACAACCAACAAAACCCTAGGGAAAACAATCAATGAAGTCCAAGAGGGAAAGGACCATGTCTGAGAACACCTTCCCATCAGGCCAGGCCATGTGTAGACAGACATGAAGACTTCACTGGAAAGGAACAAGCTGCTTCTTTTCCACCTCTCAAGACTATTCCTCAGTTAGTGTTTCTGAACCTCCCTCCACTCAACCTGAAGTGTGCTTTCTTTTTTTTGTCTGAAAACCACCTTTTTTCTGCAAGAAATCCAGACTGCAGTGAGCAGCTTCAGGCCACAGCAGAAGGGATTTGGTGCTGGAATATGTTTTATCAGGCAATGGGAAAAGGGTTGGAAATTTCCAGAGCTGTTTCTGTGCCACGCTTGATTCACATGCATATATTTTCATTCTTTGCCTGAACATGGTCTCAGTAGGTGTTTATAACTCAAGACTGTTCCTCATTTAGTGTTTCTGAACCTCCCTCCTCTCAACCTGAAGTGTGCTCTCTTTTTTTTTGTCTGAAAACCACTTTTTTTCTGCAAGAAATCCAGACTGCAGTGAGCAGCTTCAGGCCACAGCAGAAGGGATTTGGTGCTGGAATATGTTTTATCAGGCAATGGGAAAAGGGTTGGAAATTTCCAGAGCTGTTTCTGTGCCACGCTTGATTCACATGCATATATTTTCATTCTTTGCCTGAACATGGTCTCAGTAGGTGTTTATAAAGCTTGCCACTATAAAAAGTTCAAAGCATCTGCTCTACAAGAGTGGAGACCCAAAATTCCCACCTAGTTCAAGATTTCTCCTGAGTCTGGCCAGCAGATTGTGGTGAAGGTGCTGAAGCAGAATGTGCCCAGCAACTTTTGTTCCACTCCTTAGGTTTCCATCCTAATTTGGGGGCAGGAATATGGATTCAAACCCACACTGCACCCTTGCCATACAAAATTTTCTCTTGTGCAAGCGTGGAGCAGCCTTCCTGTCTCCAAAAAGGAATGCAAACATCTCCATGGGCTGGCTACTGGGTTTTTGCTTTGAGAGAGAAAAACTGCAGTGGGTGAGAGTAGCAGTCCCTCCAGCTACCAGTAGTAATCATAAATATGCTGGTCTGATTTGGAAACGTGCAGATGGGAGGTAGGTGTCTCACATGTAACGCCGTGGCTGGGAGGAGATGTACCAGAGAAATCAGAAACCCAGGGTGGCTGGGATGGAAAAGCTGAGAGAGCTGCCAAAACAAATGCTGGCTTGAAAATGGAGATGAGAAAAGGGGCAGGGAGGATCTGCAGGTTCTGAATATGCTGCTGTGGTGTTTTGGGGTTAGATATCACAGCCAGGAGCTCCCTGGATCATTGCAGTCCCCAAGAGCACATTGCAGGAGAGCTCAGCTCAGACCTTGCTCCTTGAGAATTGAAGAGGAATAAACTTACTGCTTAGAAAAGACAAACTCCAAGTCAAGCCAAAGGATGGACTTTTAAATTCTGTTCTGAGAGTAATTGTAAATGATAAAGTTGGATTAAAACTCAGATTAATTGGCAGGAAGAAGGGTTGAGATGGAATCTGGGAGAAGCCAAAGCAGCACCACACTTCTGATGAGTCATGAGGGGTTTCATCTTTGGAAGACCCCATTTCTTGGCAACCCAGATGCTGTGTGACCCAGCTGGGCAGCCAGGATCTCTGAAAGGCAGAGGATGAAGGAAAGTGGTGGTGGGATGGGGCAGCTGGTGTTTGTGAACTCATACTCATGGAACTGCATCTCTGAGAGGGAGAATGGTGCTGACATTGGGAAGGCACTTCTCCCCAGACCAGCTCAGCAGCAGCCAGTCTGGGCCAAAAAGCAAAATCTTTGTTCTGGGACTGCAAAAATAGGACAGTAAAAAGAACAAGTGCTGCCCCTCAGCAGGGAAAGGTCAGGACACACAGTCATGGGCAGCTCTCATCTTAGTGGTATAAAAAAATGACATCTTCCTTCTTAAGTTTCCTTCTTTTTCCCCATGGTAGATATCCTTGATGCTGTTGGCTGTAAAATTACACAGTAAGTTCTTCAAGCCTGTGGCTTCTTCCGTTGCATTTAGAGTTCAAGCCCTGGGAGAAGCACTGAGGAAGAGGAGCTGCTTCATGTGGATAACCTACTGCACAAAATCCCTGCTCCCCAGGGGCCTCAGGCTCTTCCAGCATCCACTGCTGGCACTCCTCATGCACCCAAGAGCTTTTCTTGAGGGACCTTTCTGTGTCTTCCATGGAGGAGGACAGCTCTTAGTGAACGTTTGCTTTCTTTTTGCTTTGTTTGCTTATTCCATTCGATGAATTTTGCACCTTTCCAGCCAGTAGTGAAGGGATTCAGAAGGAAATGCATTTGGAGCTACTGTCATCTCCACATCTCCCGTGCACTGGGTGGGCATGTGATGGGCTTAGAGCTGCCCAGATCTGGAAACTGAGCCCAGAGCCTCCAAGTCCCTGCTCTGTCCTTACCCACTAAGCCATCGAAAGCTCATTGCCTTTGCCTCGTAGCCACTGGGATTCTGGGATTTGTTATGGCATGGCAACAACAAAAGCCTGAAGAGCTGCCAGAGCAGGTTTTGCTGGCTGTCCTTGATGAGCAGAGATTGTTTTTCCCTCTGTCTAGCTGCTAGCTTGCCCCTCACCAGCACAATTTTGCCTGAACTTACATCTCCACTACAGCAGTTAATAACCTGAACCTCAACAAAGGATGACTCAATATAATTAAGGCATGCTGACTGATCTGTTATACACTTGTTTTGGTATTCTCAATTAATGGATTCATTAAAAAAACACCTCTAGGGGACTTTCTCTTGTCCAGATTTTTTTCTCTTGTCCAGATTTTTTTTCTCTTCTGAGTTTGATCTCCAAGACATCATGCTGGTATACTTCATAAACAATCTGTTTTCTGCTTAAAACACACAAACCAAAAAGAACAAGCTAGGAGCTAAGAACACAGATCCAGAGTAATCCCTAGCAATCCCAAATTCTTTCACAGAGCAGTACCCTGAAAAAGCAATAAGCACCCACTGCAGCTGAACATATCTGACTGCTTGTGTCCCTGCCCAAGAAACTGAGAGGAAATAGCAGAGGTGTTTTGGTACAGACCATTCTGCCCAGGAGAGGGTTTTTAGCCTTTGTGAAAACTTCTCTAGCCAATATCCTCAATAAACATGCTTTTCCTGGGCCCAAGGGCAGGTATCCACCTAAAAGCACAGAGCAGCTCACTAGTGACTGAAGCATCATCAGAATAGAAGGAAGAACAAACCTTAAAACTGGCCAGGCAGAGCAAGATTGAAATTCTTCCTGCTTGTAGTTACAACAGCAAAGGAAAAATAACTCTGTGAAGTGCATTGCATCATAATATAGGTGAGATCAAGAAGGAATGACATAAAGAAACCTATTTTTTGTTGAACTCACTCCCTATTTACCACTGGAATCAGAACTGTCTCTTTTGCAGCATCAGATGTAACTGCTGTGAAGAGAATTAGGACTACAGAACAGCAGATTACTGCTTCCAGGTGCAGGAGCAGACAGGATGGTAATCCAGACAGACAGGCTTTTAAACAGATGGCCTTGGTAGTGCTGGGAAGCAAAGCACCTGGAAAAGTGGCTAACAAGTGTCTAATAGCAGCAGAACTTTGTGGGGTTTCCCTTACCCCATGGAGCTGGCTGCAGCGAGTTCGTGGAGCAATTTGCTGTAACAAAGTGGAGAAAAACTCGAATTCTTCAGCAAAATCTGCCCTTTTGGGGGTGAATTCATCACCTGCTTCTCCAGCTACACCCCAGGGGCCTCATGCTTTGTGCTTGCATGGACTGAGCGGGCAGAGCCAAGGGTTGCTGCTGCAGGGGGAGAGCCAGCAGCTGGAGGAAGGGGAAGGGGGGGAGGTGGTGGGGTGAGGGTTGGGGGGACCTGGCAGAGCAGCTCTGAAATAACACAAACACCCAGGTGAGGCTCTGCATGAGGAGGAAGGAAATGCAGCATCATGCCAAGACCTGCTTCAGCTTCCTACAGTTGTAATAATGTTCTTGTACTATGATGTGCTCCCCGAGAGCACATGAATCTCATCTTTTCATATCCCAAATTCTTGGTTTCCCCCTGTTTCTACCTTATTCCATCACCTGGGGTTAAAAAAAAACCCAACCAAACCAAAACCAACACAAAAGAACTAACCAACGCCACAAAAACCCCAGAAGGATCCAGTTCAGATGGGAACTTTATCCTCGTTAAAAATCTGCCACTGGATATTTGTCAGGGTGTGTTTCTCACTCCAAAATAAAAAGGAGCAATTGATTTTTCTTGCAGAAGACAAAACAACTTTCTTGCATTAAATTGGTTTTGTTTTGACTGGCTGTATTGGTACTAAACTCTAAAC